TTATTTTGCAGAAAATAACAATTACCGACCAAAGTTGGTCAGTAAATGCTTCCCCTGCATTAACCGACCAACGTTGGTCGGTAATTTTACATATAAATTCTTAAATATTATAAAATATTTTAAATAATAAAATAATTATTAAAATTTAAAAAATTGGATCCAGATTACCGACCAACGTTGGTCGGTAATCCAAAATTTTTTTGTCTGACCAGCTGGGTCAATTCATTGACCAATTTACCGACCAACGTTGGTCGGTATTTAGTTTTCAAAAAATATAAAAAAAATATTTCCAGTTTTCGTCCAGGATGGACGGTTTTTGATCGCTTTTTTTGACCGACCAACGTTGGTCGGAAATATTTGGTCGGTTTTTAGCGGATTTTTAGTAGTGATTCCGTCCATTTTAAACGTTCAAATTCACCAAAACCCCTCATTTCACATTGCTAAAACCAGCTTAGCTAACGAAACACATTCAGGCCTCATTTGTTTATACTTAATGGAGGTCTGAATCTTAAACATTCAGATCTCAGACATTAAGTGCGTTTATTTTTAAAGTCTGAATCTTAATGATTTAGATTTTAGTCATTAAGTGTATTTATTTATTTTTACTTCACAACCACTTAATGGATTTGAATAGGTCTGTATGATTAAGATCTATAACAAAGACTTAATTTCATTAAGATGCTATCACCTACATTCATTATTAACTGCTGCTACCACCTACCATTATCAACTACCACCACCACCATCCTCAACCATAGCCGCCACCACTACCACCCCCACTACCATTATCCTCAACCATAACCACACACACCCCTACCTGCCTCAACTACTACCACCAACCACCCCATCACCATCAATAACCATAACTGACACTGTCCACCATTATAAACTATCACCACCCATCATCACCTTACTCAATCACAACCACAACCACAACCACAACCACAACCCACCATTATTAACTATCACCACTCACCACCACCATCCTCAACCATAATCATTATCGCTACCAATCACCACTAGCTACTACCGA